GAATGCCGAATCAGAGAGTGGTATACTACACAGGGCCTCTCCTGTGAGCCCCGGGACTACAGCTGCTATTACAAAGAAATCGAAGATCTTCAAAATCAGGTAATCCCCTTTTTCAGTTGTTCCTCCTCTATTTAAAGCTTATTTCTGAATTTGTGTTGAGAACCTACTCCAATTGTTAGAGGTAACTTTGGTGATGTTAAATTTCTTTGCAAACATAAATTTTGGCACTTTCTCCTATGATATTGTTGAGTGTGGGTGATATTAAAGATGCGTGCTGCAAGGGGATACAAGTGGGATATTACTCTTAAAAAGGAAAAGGATGCTTTACTACATTGGGTTTTGACTATACAATTATAAATATGATATCACCAAGTGTGCTCTGAGGAAATGTAGTGGTGTCAGCCCAGTAGGAAGAGCAAAGCAAAGAGAACTGTAGAACAAGAGCAAAACATACATATCAAATGCTGTATCAAATGAAGCATTATAAATTCTAGGTGAGAAAAGTTGAGTATTTAAAATTGATTGCTGCAGTGGCACAAAGAGCCTGATACTAATATGTCCACAATGAAAGTTATGTCTGACCTTGAGGTTCACAGATACCTTCCAACTATCTTCCTGAAGATCCTTAAGCTTGAAGCCAAGAACATGCAAGCCTGAATGTCAGCTGAGACTTAATGTCTCAAGGAAGGTTCTTTAGATTCACTTCTTTGTGAAGCATCTTTAGAACTTGCCTTCAGACCTTGAAATTGGGAAGTCCCACCTCACAACTCTAACTCCCAACCTCTACACAGTCAACCTCTTTTCTTTACTGACTGTGAGTTAAGGAGGCAAAGCTACCTCCTGCAACTGCTCCGCTCAAGGAACAAGGTTACTTAAGTAAGATTGTAACAGAAAAACGAAATTGTGAAGACTTACTACCTAACTGCAATGTAGATACACCTATAGACTATAACAGCAGAGAGAAGTGAGACATCTCTCATGGTCTGCTCTTTTCCAGATTGTCTGCGCAACCATTGATAACAACAAGATCATTCTGGACATTGATAACAGCAGGATGGCTGCTGACGACTTCCGTGTGAAGTGAGTGCCCCTCTGTGTAGATGAACTCCCTTGCCTCCTCCCTGCTCCTTTACATCTCACTTGTGGAGTCTCAGTGCACTAATTACAGAGACTTCAGGCGAGTCTCACTACAACACCACATTAAGACAGGATGGAGTGACAAAATGCATTTTGCTTTTGGTCACCAGCCCTGCCTTAATTAGTATTCACGGGTAAAACATTTGGCAAGTGTTTGTTGGTGAGGGCTGGGGACCGACATGGGAGGGAGTGGTCCTTAGTGGTGTAGTTGGCGCATTTTTCATCACAGACCAGTGCAGATTGGGATCAGCGAACCAGAAATGCAGCTGAAAAAGTGATATCAAACATAGAGTCATCAGGAGCAGGAAAAAAATAGTTGAGGAAGAAAAGCTTTCACATAACAAGACATCACTGCAGAGCAGAAGTCTAATGCACAGTGCGTTCAGCTTAGACAACAAAATACCGTTTAGAGCAGGTGGGTGGGAAAGGAGATCTTCGCATAAACTGAGCACATGCGAGCTGTTACCATTCTGAATTTCTGCTTTCTTTCTCACCCTCAGGTACGAGACGGAGCTGGCCCTGCGCCAGAGCGTGGAGGCTGACATTAATGGCTTACGCCAAGTCCTGGATCAGCTGACTCTCTGCAGGTCTGACCTGGAGGCACAGCTGGAGTCGCTGCGGGAGGAGCTCTGCTGCCTGAAGAAGAACCACGAGGAGGTAGGGTCCTGCCCGCTCCCTAGGAGCACCACAGCCCTGACAGAAAACTTTGCCTACACGAATGTGCTCTAAATTTAAAAGTAAAGATCAATCACTTTCCCGCCACAGCTTTCCCATCAAACACTTCTGGGGTTCGGACCTGTCTGCCTCGTGGGTGGTGCGGGAGCTCTGGCAGAGAGGCGGCTGCTGCTCTCGGGGCTGCGCTGGCACTGGGAATGCCAGAGCGGGGTGAAAGTTGCTGCTGAGTCCAGTGGATGAGAAAAGAAATTATCCAACAGTTTTGTTGGGGAAAACAAACACTTGCACCATCTTCCAGTGCTTTACAGCCACAGCTGGGAGGCACCCCTCGCAGGGAGCACTCTTCTTAGCCACCAAGCTCTGCTTTTCTTTGTTGTCTTTCAAAAGCCAGTATGCATCTGATCTGGGTTATGTTTCCAGGAAATGAATTGCCTGAGAAAACAATCAACTGGAGACGTGAGTGTGGAGGTCAATGCCTGCCCTGGACCAGATCTCAGGCAAATCTTGGAGGATTTGAGATGCCAGTATGAAACACTGATAGCGCGCAACCGCAAGGAAGTTGAGGATTGGTATGAGTGCAAGGTAAGCAACACACACCTGCTGCGAAACAAACTGACATGCACATTTCAGGGCACAGATTGTCTCAGAAAACAGAAGTGGAGACAATAAGCAGTTCTTCCTTTACAGTGAAGCCCGAGATCAGCACTCATTATAACCCGTGTTCCACAGAAGACACAGGCTTGTCTGACCAGTTTGTTATGTCCCATCTGCAACAGCAGCATTTGCCGCAAGGCCTTGTGGTGTGTTGCTGGAACTGAGATATTCCACATTTGGATTAAAGAGACTTAATAGCCACAAGGTTAATGCGATTTGTAGAAAGAGCAAGCAGTTGAAGCTGGCGGTTAACGCCCAGTGCACAGAGAACTCACTCTGCTCACTTTTCTTTTTGCTAGCTACTCACTGTATTCTGCTTCTGTATAAGCAAGTCCAATTTACACAGATATTCTCTGAAGCTCTTTATTCTGGATTGGTGATTTTCAGATTGAGGAGGTGAATCGTGAGGTTATTACAAGCGGTCAGGAGGTAGAGACGTGCAACAACCAGGTTACCGAATTGAGACGCCAGTTGCAAGCTCTGGAAATCGATCTCCAAGCTCAGCTCAGCCAGGTGGGTGGTGACCTTACTTACAGCTGTGGCATGGTTACTGCTGGATCTCTTAACGTGAACAGGCAGACCTACCAATCAGCATGATGGTGGTGAATAGCTCCTTCATTTTTGCATTGGAAATAATAACCTCCAGGGTGACACTTAATGAATGTTGTTTCTTCGTTTGGTTGTCTTGTTTATCAGAGAAATAATTTGGAATCCTCTCTGGCTGAGACTGAGTGCCAGTACAACACCCTCCTCGGTGAGCTACAGAACCAGATCACATGCGTGGAGCAGCAACTGGCTGAAATAAGAGCAGAAATAGAGTGCCAGAACCAAGAATACAAGACCTTATTGGACGTCAAGTGCCGTTTGGAGCAGGAGATTCAGACCTACCGGTGCTTGTTGGAAGGAGGACAGCAGGACCTTATGTATGTAGATCTCTAAATGAATAAATGAATAAACAAAAATATCAAGGATCCGTATTACGGATTGGGAATCCGACATAATCTTTAGTCCACCTTAATGCTTTCACTGAGATGAAAAAGTTGTCTCCTGAGCAACTTTACTGTGATGAACATTCAAATCTGAACTAAATGTCACTCCTTGGGATTTGCAAAGCAGAGAAACCAAATCTGTTAACTGCTAGTTACAACATTGCAACTACTGGTATTAAGTCGTATTATTCACAACAATCTCTTTTCTGTAGTAAGACGGGCGAGAACTGTCAAAATAAGAATTAATTGCAAAGCTCTGCATTGCGTTTTCATGCCAAAGAAGGGCACAAATGCAAAGTAACTCTGAAAATGAAAGAAGAACGCAATGTAAAATACCCAACCCCCTACAAAAGACATAGTTTGAGACTTCGTGTCATTTAGTCAGTCAGCAGTGTCATGTTAAGTTCTAAAATTCCTTATTTCTCTCACCCAATTTATCCCACTAGTCATGGAGGAGGAATCGGAGTAGGAACTGGTGTAGGAGGAGGAGTCATTAGGACAAGCCACAGCTATACTACAAGTTCATCTTCCCATTGCCAGCCCCAAGTCCCACCCTGCAAGAGTGGGGATATACAAGGTAAGAGCCATCTTTCCATAAAAGGGAAACTGTTTTTTTCAGTTTGTTCCTTCATAATAAGGCCAGGAAACAACACACTCTCCTAGGACGCGTTATTGGTATCTCCTCAGAGAGTTACTGTGTTATAGGTATGATCTGTTAAAATGGATCCAACAACAGTGCAAAATTGGCTGTGTCACTAAAAAATAGGTTTGAAGAGAGCTCTGACTGAATACGGAGTAGCAGAAAGCAAATGAGAGACAAGAGGGAGTAGCAGGACTAAAAGGAGAAAGCTGGGGAAATGAGGCATAAAGAAAAGATCTGGAAGTAGAAGTAACGAAGAAGACAGCCAAACAGAGCTTAGCAAAAGAGTCTGGAAGGAGTGAGAAGAAGAGCAAATCTGTAACTTTACAAGTGCAATTCCCATTAAAACACAATTATTTAGGGGATTTCTGGGGTTTCCTGGGTTGTCTGCCAACTGCTCTTGTTTAACAGAGTGTATTCTTGAAATAAGGGCACTACATAACCCAAATTTTTGTTATTTGAAGGATTTTATCTCTGTTCCAATCAAATAACGCTGCTATATTTTTTCTCCAGTGACCTGCAGAAGAATTTGTGATTAAGGAGGAATGGACTAGAAGATGACATACAGAGAAACCCACAGACAAAACAAGAACACTCGATGTTCACTGCACGCCTCTATGCAGAGAAAGTAGAAGTAACTCAGCGATGCTTTGCCATGTATCTAAAGGGGCCTACTGGGGGCCACCTTCTTCTCTGTTCTGCTACTACTTCTGTTCTGTAATGCTGTAATCTCTAGAAGTTACTTGAGTTAGTCAGGATCACTAATGTACCTGCTGGTGAAAAAATTTCTCTAATAAAACTTTGCTTCTGCCTGTTGCAATCAAGAAACTTGTGTCTGGAAACTGAGTTCCTTTAGAAAACCAGGTGCTGATCCAGGTGCAAACCACAACCACAGCCAGGCTAGATAGCCTCTGCAACGGCCCCAGCAGGAAAAGCTGGAAACCCATGCACAAGGGCCAGCTAAACTGGTCAGGAACATACTCCAACACGCAAAGCTGCTTTGCCAGTGGGAGCCAGAGAATGGCCTCGCTGACCTTGCAGGTCTTGTCCACCTCCTCCCTGTCAAAGCCTGTAGCATACGTTGCCCGTTCCTGCATGATCTACATAGACAGCCTAATCAGGCAGATGCCTGTGTGCTTCCCACAGAGCATTTTGCTTAAATTCATTGCAGAACAACAAAGGAGAAAGTAAGTGGAGCTGGAGGTCGTTAATGAAAGGACAACAGAGAGATCAGTGACAGAAATTTCCATGAAAAAGCAAGGTCAGGATGGTGTATATCCATACACAGTCATCTGCTTAGCAGCCATCCCCGGTGCACATCTCCAGCTGCTCTCCAGATGTGTCAGGCATTAAACTGTGAGATGCGTTGGCTGCTGGGGAGTACGATGTCAGTCATACACCTCTTAACAGATCTGCATTGCAGTCATCTGGGGGGAGGGAGGTGTCTTCTGACCTCACCTGTCTTCTGGACTTCTGTAATGTAAGCGTGTCCGAGTGAGTCTGCCTCTCTGCAGAGCAAATCCCATCTCTTCTGTGTCAGACATCTGCCTGGGGAGGGGGACTGTGCAACGCAAGTGCCTCTTCTCTTGGGTGACTGTAAGCAGAGCCAAGAGCAGGTGCTGAGATGACAGCATTCAAATTTTCTCATGAATCTCCTCTTTTCTTGAGACAGCAAAGAGGTGGTTGGACATCCGTAGCTGTGCAGAGACACCCACCAGGTGGAAAAAGCGGGTGGCCTGAAAGCCCTTTTTATAACATGGCACAAACGTTTCTCACACCTAAACACACGTAAAATATTTTGGAGTCCTTCGTGAGAAATCAAAAAATATTTGAAGCATAAAAGCAAGTGCGTTTCCCCAAATCCCACTCCTGAATATACCACAGACCTGGACGAGTAGCATTTCTGCCTCTGCTCACGGCCAGTTTACGCACCGCAGTAAGCAGGGAGACGGGGACGGGGGGCAAAGGGAGGATGGTATTCTGCCTCTGAAGCAGAGGAGCAACAAGGCTGATCCCTGGCGGACGG